TATATATTAGTTCATCAAATATATTTAATAAATAATATAAAACTTAGACGTTAAAAAGTTGGAATGTTTTAATATTAATCATAGATATAACTGAAATTTTTAGCACAAAGATTTATTTCAAATGTTAGTAGCAAACGATAAAAATAGTAAGAATATTCCTTTTTTCGTATCAAAATTAAAGATCGGTGAAATTTTGCCTATTGGCAATTTATAAGTAGAAGTATAATACACTTTACACGTATGTAATACACATTTTCTCACCTCCAACCAAAGTGTCATTGTTGTCAGACTGCAAGGTAGCACTGGTATCAGATAGGGGCGACGGGGCTGGTCTTAAATCCGATGGCGGTTCCAATCTCAGTAAATCACTTCCGCCATCTCCACCTCCTCCATTTCCTCTGCCGACCTGTACAATCGTTACGTTCAGAGGTCCCCGGTTACCTACCATAAAACAGAGCGAGAGAAAGAAAGAAAGAATATAATGATGAACCAGTTATTAAAAATAAATAGTCGAATGCAAGAAGGGGATAACTTTTTTTATATTAGTTATGTATTTTATTAATTATACGCGCTCAATTTTGCTATGCAAAATCATTTTTAGAAAGTAACGACTGAAATGTGAAGGCGAAGCACTTCACAGAAATGTCACTAATTGTAAATGATAATTAACCTCTGTGTCATTTTCCTCAACCGCGAATAAACCGAGCTAAAATTGAATCAGTTTAACCGGATTTCTATTCCTAAAACCGCAATTCGCTTATACGATAATTTTATGCACAATCAACGATATGACATTTATTGATTTAGGTTACCTCATAACGTGTAAAGGTGGTTTATGCTTTAACCCGAAGAAAATATATTGTATAATTTGCGATCATTATGTCTTATGTCTCATTGCAAATGTAGAGAGAACATAATAAATGAAAAACGCAATGATTACTGCTTGTAACCAGCAAATAAATATAAAATTATAATTTCTTTTCTTTATAATTCATTTAAAATATGTACAATACATTTCGAAACTACAGACATAT